TACTGTTTTTGTTGTTTGCAGTTTGTAAACTGAACTGCATAGCTACTGTCCGTTAAGGGATCGCAGTGCAACAATTTATTTTCCAAAGAGTACGACAGGTCGGAGGAATATTTGTCTTACTTTAAATGCCATTCAGGGTAACTAGAGTAATATTTCTTTAAACTGTTGGTAATGTAAAGAAAGAGAAGGAAAAATAAACTATATATAGTGTTAATATACAGTATATAGGTATAAACAAGAAGCATTATTTTAAGAACACTTGATAACAGATTCAGGACTTTTTTATCCTACCCTGTACCAAATGTTGTTGTTTAAAAATATTGTGTACTATTAAAAAAAGAAAACAAACCTTACCATCCCTGGATGTCTACGACCAGTCTATGTGTAATTTATTTAGACAATAAAAGAGTAATTTTAGAGGACCTTCAAAGACATGAAAGCTAGAATGGTAATTATAATCCATTCTTTTGGAATCCCTATGAAAGAAGACGAACCACTGGACCCAATGGAAAAACACATCAGAATGATCATAAGAAAAGCACAAACATGTGGGGTTTTGTTTCCTCAAGCGGAATGGGTGAACTTAATACAATAAGAGGTGTCATGAATAAGTATGTTTCAAAGCATATTTTCATAATATTGCAAAGGTCTAGATGTGTAACTAGCTCTGTTGCTTTATCAAAACACACTTTAAAAGAACCGGAATATTTTTTTTTGCCAAAGCACTCAATACAGAAGGTATGTTGAATTAACATAATAAGCCTTTCAAATCTGCACAGAAGGCCATATATTTAAGTGCCTTTTTAAAAAAAGATCTGTCTGAAAGAAGCATTGGATGTTTTTAAATATTGTCACTCAGAAAATAAATGGTTTTATTTTACTTACCCTCTTGATGGTTAGAATATTGTTTCATCAAAGAAATTAGAGTGTGGTATAACTGGAGAGTGGCACAGGATTGTTTCCTTGTGTTGTCTGAAAGATGTCCTATAGAATAATGTTTTTAATTGGTCCTTAGTCATCTGTTATTAAGAACCCTGAATGGCATTTACTAGAAAAGCAAAGACTGGGGGAGACCATTGCTATTGTCATATAGTAGAGGTGTTGAACCTGGACAACACAATGATAGCACCAACCTGCTTAAGAACCACAAGGAGTTCACTTCTCTTTGGTATATAGAACTATGCGTTCCTTTAAATAATATTATCAGATCTTTTGAGTTCTCTTATTTTTACATGATGATAAAATCCTAATAACCTATAATAATCAGCTTGTTCATGGAAAAATTAGTCATTAATCATGCACAGGTCTTACACGTTTATCAATTGCCTGCTCAAAATATCCAGTTGTCACCAAAGAGGATTCAGCGAAAGTAATGTATCTGGGTTTGGACACATTGGATTAACATTCACTTGAGTATTCATTAGCGTCATCGATTGCTCAAGACGTTCACTTTCCAAAAAAGCTTGGTGATGATCCAGAAAAGGTGAGAAACCTTAAATGAATATTATGTTGCTTAGGTAGTTGGTGATTTTTTTAAAGTGCTGTTTATTTTAGTTAATGCCAAAATATCTTAATATCAAATCTCTTTGAGCAAGATTTTATATTTTATATATAGAAGATACAAACTTAGCAGGAGTTTTGCCTTTTGAAACAGTAGATAAAAAAGAAAAAGGTGTGGACAAATAGGAATAATTAAAATGTAGTTATAGGTTATAACGTATGTTCTTTCTGTGCAGGAACAAATAATAAAACAATAAAATCTGAAATAGAACATATGGGCATGCTCTATGTGAGATATAAATCCAAGAACCTTCCATGGTTAGCTAGCCTGAATGAATATGAGTCACTCTTGCCTCTTTTCATTTTTCAAATGCACAAACTGGAGAAACCGGAGAAGAGAGAAGCTCATAAAGGGAACTTAAAGACTGAAAGAATTGAAATAGCTTTTCTGCTGTTTGCGTTTCAATCTGTAGCTTTCCAACATTCCAACCTCCTAAATATTTGATTGACATATTTGGTGATATATTTCAGGCTAGTCTAATTCAGTTAATTTACAGAGGCCTGTAGTGCCAAAAAGGGTCAGAATTTTGTAGAATTTCGTCAACATGTCCACTGGCAGTCAGCCCAAGCTCTACAAAACATGAGAAAGCTTTGGTAGCACAATTCAGGTGTGTACTGCAGTTCAGAGGTTCATGGAAATGATAGCCATTTTGTGATAACAATTCATCCAGTTTTTCAACTGGAAGCTTGAAGGTTAAACAATATCACACTTTATCTCTTGGGCAAAGTGTCTATTTTCATCTTTGTCACAAAGAAAATTAATAACCACCCCCAAAGAACCTTACTCAATCTATACTATTTAATGTGATATAGTGATTCCTGAACCATGGATTTCTATTTCAGATGCGTGTTCATCTCAGAAAAAAAAATTCTAAATATGAATTTCTTAAAATTTAAGTGTTGATCATTAAAACAAATAATCCGTACATAAATTACAGGATTTTTCTTTTCAGTGAGCCAGGAATCAAAGCTTTATATTTTTTACTGTTTTCAGGGATTATAAATAAGGTCTAAAGCTGGTTTCTTTTTGGTGAAGTATCGGTATGCATTTCTTTTTTCCAAAGCCCAATTTCCTCAATTGTATGAAACCAAGAATAAACAACTCCAGAAGAGAAATGTTTCCAGTAGAAGCTTTTGTTGAGTTTTTGATGTTAAAAATGTTTGCGTACTACACTCTTGTCTCTTTAATTTATATCGGTAATGCAGTGTTTGAAGTTACAGATGAATGCCCCCCTCCTTTGATGTTCTTTCCTATTCTTAGTAGCTTGTCAAAATCACATATTTAAAAGGAAAAAGGTGGATTACATGATAGAACTGAAAGATGGACACTGGATTTAGCAAAGGCTTCTTTTCAGTGGTATTGTTTACAGGCAGTGAAGAAGCCGGGTACAGATATTGCATACCACGTATTGTGGTACATAGAGATGACTGCTTATCTTCATCAACATTCACCCCAATATCAAAGGAAAAACAACAGTCTCACTGGGTTATTATTCAAATTCAAACATAAGAACACATGTATGGCAACAATAATACCTGAATTTCTGCTGTTTTTATGGGGTTTGAATCATATGGGATACTATGGACAAATCTACAAAAACCAGAAAGAATAGGAATACATAAATTGAGCATTTTTCTTTTCTAAAATAGTTTTAAATAATATAATATGATTTTCAATTATTACATTAATTATATTAATATATCTACTATTTTGTAGGAGGTGTGAATCCATGAACACAGTTTGTGCTCACCTACACTTCCCAATAAAAAGAAATTGGATGCAGATTGTGTGATGCGGATCACAATCTGAACAGAAAGTTTAAGAGCTCAAGAGAGGTGGTGGATACTGCAGACCTGCTATTCCTAATAAGAATTCGTTTCATTTATATATCACTTTTCATACCAAAGGATCCCAAAACACTCCACATCATTGAGGGAACCTACTTAATCCACCTAGGATTAGGGACAGCACCTGCCTACGTGGAATATGACATTCTATCAAGCCAGCAGCCATATCACCCTGCAACTCACAACTGGCAGCCCACTGAAGCTAAGCAGGTATGAGCCTGGTCAGTACCTGGATGAGAGACCTCCTGGAAAAACTAAGGTTGCTGCTGCAAGATGTGTTAGTGGGGCCAGCAGGGGGTGCTCACCCTGTGGTCCATGTGGGTCCTAATGCCCCAGTATAGTGATGGGGACACTATACTGTAAACAGGCGCCGTCCTTCGGATGAGACGTAAAACCGAGGTCCTGACTCTCTGTGGTCATTAAAAATCCCAGGGTGTTTCTCGAAAAGAGTAGGGGTGTAACCCCGGCGTCCTGGCCAAATTTCCCATTGGCCCTTACCTATCATGGCCTCCTAATAATCACCATCTATGAATTGGCTACATTACTCTCGTCTCCACTGATAGCTGATGTGTGGTGAGCATTCTGGCGCACCATGGCTGCCGTCGCATCATCCAGGTGGATGCTGCACATTGGTGGTGGATGGGAGTCCCCATTACCTGTAAAGAGCTTTGAGTGGAGTGTCCAGAAAAGCTCTATATAAATGTAAGCAATTATTATTATGGCCATTATGTGCCAGAAGCCCCACTACAAAGCAGAACTTGTGGAGAGGAGATACTACTTGAATCAATTTACGGGAGGAGTTCAGGGAAGCCCAAAGTGAAAATCAGCCTGAACACCACTACTCATACACAGATCGTCTTGGGATCCAGACCAGACCTGGACTTTGGTTCAACCTCTTATGCAAAAGAGAGAGAGAACTTTCTACAGAACATTGTCCCTGGTCTCCACAGTGGAGTATTTTGGAAATTCTGGTACGGAATGAAAACTGCCACCCACTAGTCCAGCAATTCTACTTACAGGAGAAACCTGGTTTTCCTTGGAGATATTGCGTCACATCAGCAATCGGTCCCAGATCCAGTCACATTCTTGCTTAGCTTTGAAATACAAAGTGGTGACACAGCTGTTGAATTTAAGAAATTTGTAGCAGATTTCATTAACTTAAAAATGACAAGATAGTTCTTTAAGAGATTAATTTAGTACAGTCTACTAATAAATTCTGCTTTCTAATAAAGGGGGCCACAATTTAAAGTAAAGTATATACAGTATATTACAATTCAAACTATCTTCAAAATAGAGCCCATTTGGTTTCACACAAACAGAAACATGTACAGTACTTGTCTTACGTGGTCACCCTTCAGGAAGATTGAGGGACCTATTGTACTATGCTTCTGAAGCACACATGGTCTTCAAGACTATAGTTTGAGAATCAAAGAAGGCAACTTCTGCACATGAAGATCTACAGTATGTGTAATATACTCACCATTTTGTGTAATCAATGGAAAAGATTTCTGTTAATCCTTGGAGACCCAAAACGAGTAGAACAGTATATAAACGTACAAGGTTCCCATTATAATACACCAGTACCATAAGCATATTTTATAAATATATTTTATTTAACTGAACAGTGTTTAAAACAAACTTAAATACATTTCATTTCTGTATATAAGCTCAACAAAGAAAAGATTTCCAGAAAGGAAACGGTGTGTACTTAATAGAAAGCATAAACATTTGGGGAGTGGAGTGTGGACCAAGAAGAATGCCAAGAAAAATATTGAATACACATTTATGTTTCTTTGGAATCTATAAACAATACAGAAAAACAAAACATACTTTGTACATTATTGCAGATACGAGCTTTTATAGTTATTAAAAAACATGCTGGGGCAAACTATAACAGAAACCGAGAAGCATATTAAAATAGCATTAAACCCTGTTTAAGCAGGAACAGTGATTTTCATGTCATTTTTGAAAGCCTTTCTGTAAAACAGGCAATGGACTTGGAAACACCAAAAATATTTGTACCAGCAGAGCTACATATCAAGTTGACCTCAACAGCATTTCTTCTCTATCTTTCTCTCCATTTATGCACAGTTATACAGAAAATACTAACCAAAAATATAACAAAATATAAAATATAACAAAATTGTTAATTGCTCTTTCAAGGAAAAAAATACAACCAAGATACAAGGCTTTTTCAACCAAAGAAACAATGAATAATAACTCATTAATACAGGGCAGTGTGAAAAAAACACAACACTTCAGTAAAGCAATTTCCTGAAAATCTAACTAATGCATTTTCCACATGCAACTGCAAATATCCAAAAATGATAACTTCATAAAACACTAAAGTGGGCATGTTTAAAAAAAAGTGACAAATAATACATTACTTTAATATATGATATAAAATATTTTGGCAATTAAATGGTTGTTAAAATGAAAGGTAAGATGATAAGAGTGGTCATGTACCAGGTATTTAGTATTTGGAAATTAAAAGACAGTATTTTACATTGGTTGAAAATAAGTTAAAGAGCAAATTTGAAATGTTTAAGACATCAATATCACCTAAAACCCAAAATAATGGTTTTGGGAAGGCACAGAGAACTGGATATTTTCAGTTTTCTGTTGGTAATTCTTAATACATTTCTTGATCAAGGAAAGACCCAAGAGCATGAAAAATATATCTTAAATTCACTTCTTGACCATGACTTATGTAAGGGCTAGAAAGTAAATTCAATGTGTTTGTTAAGGATACTGAGTGAGCCTTTATCCTTGATCTCCGTTTAAGAGAGAATTGCTTATTGTTAATCACTGAAACAAAATCGGTCAGTTTTCACATCTGTCAATACAATATTCTTCAACAAGTATGTCAATTAAAAGCCAAGGCAATCTAAAGGCTATGTGAAGCGTGATTCCATTCTAAAAGTAACCTTCAGATGACTTATGAGTGCATGGGCACTGCTAAAGCTAATGACAGTTATCAGAATAAATATTTATTACTGACCAAGTAGATGACAGTTTCTTTCACCACTTGTTTACATCAGGAATAATGATGATCATGCAGCTGCTCTTTAAAGCTTCTTAAAAACCAATCATATTAAAATGATCATACATATGATAAACACAGATAAAGCCACAGTATAAGTGCCATTAACTTTTAGAAAGGGTCAGCAAACAAAACTGCTTAAGTAAAAGAAAATGCATAGTTCTCACACTGCATAAACAAAGGCAAAATGTAAACCATGCAGGAAAGACAACACAGCAGGTGTTAAAACAGTTCCTCTTTTAAATTGCACAGTTCAACTTCATTAGGGCTATTAAATCAGCTGATGAAATGTAGGGAATTAAAACATATGTTTGGTCTAAAAAGGCAAGTGTCCGTAAAGACATTCTGGAAAGCTCTGTGACTGTCCAACATCCTCTTTTGCACACAATCAGTTTCTAACACCAGGCATGAGTTTTGAAAAATGTGTTGAAATTAAAAAGCACCAAGATGGTAAGTAGAAATATTTTACAAAATGTAATGAGTTTATATTTATATTTATTGGCAAATAGCCCCACCTTTCTTCCTGTTTTGTAAAATGAACAATAACTCCTGCCCTCAATGCTTACAGAGAATGCACTTCCTAATAAGAAGGACCCAGTTGAAGTCATCACTCCAAGTTTAGTATAATATACATAATATACGGGGAATGAGCAAGAAATGCTAGAGTAATTTCAGGATAATGGTGGCTCTTTCCTTTTCAGGATACCTTAACCCAGATTCTCAATAACACAGGTGTTCTTTTCTGTAATTTTCGCTATCCTAGGAAGCTTATATGAAGACACTGAAAGCTCTTAATCCTGAAGGTTTAGTGATAATAGCTTTCCAGATAATGCAGCTGAACAATGGGCTGAAAGGTATTGTTACAACCCACTTAAGTGAACACACTTACAAAGACTTAATAGAAATAGTGAAAAATGTCACAAATACTGTACTATTTTTCATGATTCGTCATGTCTGCTATTGTGCAGAAGGCAGAATCTAGGTCTACTGTAAGCCAGTCTTCTACATTTTAACATTACTAGGTAAAGCACAACAGTCCTCTAACAAACAGTATGACTTAGTTCTGGATATCTCCTCTTTTAAATTATACAATTCAAAAGCAAGGAACATTGATGATAAATGGAATCTTAAGAAATAACAACCCTGTTGATTTTGGCACTACTGACAACATTACATTCGTTTGGAAACACAGCTTCCCTCGTTGTACAGCATTAGTTCAAATGCTTAACCTGAAGAAACAAAAGACAGGTTTGGTTCTTCTCACCTACAGTATACGTGGTACAGAAACAAAGTCATATTTCTACCAAATGCTTTATGTGGAATTCATAGTTGACAAAAATGAATTCATGGATCACTGTTATTTTACCTTTATTTAAAAAGAAAATTTGACCTGTGAATTTATAGCCAGCCAATAAACAGGCTAGAGGTCTGAATTTATGTCACATTTAAACTGATACTCAAAAACGTAAATTAAAGATTGAGAACATAACATCATAAACAAAGACTGGATCACCGACATCATCATGGGACTAATAGAACAACAGCATTCTTTCGAAAACCAATTAAGCCACGCTGTGGAATTTTCACTGTGGAAAAACAGAAATTGACAACATTACATTCCCTTCGCCGTTAGACACATTATTTTTGGGAGACTTTGATAGACATCCCTTTTCTTTTTAGGTTAAACACATGAAAGCCTATAAAAGCAAGCAAAATATGTTCCCATATATTTTTCCCCACAATTGTTCTATAGATTTTCAATAAGCATTCAAATTTTTTAAAAAAGGTAACTAGTGATTAAGACAAAAATTACACTAATTCAATGGATGACAAATGAACACAAATCCAAAGAATGGGCAGTGCTGTGCAAGGCACAAAAGACCTGCTCTTTAACTATTGCAATAAAATGAACTATTACTGTGACCTTCAAATTAAAAAATACAAGGGAAGGTTTTTTTTTTTATAAACACCCACGCAGCAGATACTTCAAAAAATAGCTCGCCATCTGCTGTTCTTGATTTATAGTGTGTGCCTACTCTCTACCCTTGGAAGCTTAAGGCCTGGAAATTTTATTTAGCCTTTTTGCTCAAACTAATAAAACTTCTCTTTAAATTAATAACTACGTTTGTTGTAACTAAGTTATAACAAAGTACTTTATTCCAGGGCAACTTGAGGGAAATGTATTAGAATCAATCTGTGCAGGGAAAGAATTATAACAGCACATCATTTGATCAAGTTAAAAATGTGAAACCTCATTTAGTATTACTAAAACAGCAATTATGTTACAGAGAACTTAAAATGACTGTGCAATCTGATTATGTGAGCATTCCTATACTGCTCTGTCTTGAACGAAAGTGTTTCTCCACTTTCTTAAACTTGTTTTCTTCCAAACACACAGAAGCAAGACTTTTGATTATTCACACAATGAATCTAATTTTTCTGTTATGCCATCTGATATATCATGTACTTAAAACCCCTACAGAGTGCAAATATATACAGATATATTTGCCAGACAGGAAATTTGCCAATCTGCAATTACAAGTTTTCACTGCTATCTTGCAAGCTAGATTTAATGCACTAATTCTTCTATTTACTTAGGAACCTATTTTTCTTAAGCAAAGATAACTACTTTTGAGCAAGAAATTGCTTTATATTATGGTTTCATTAATTTGCATATAAATTTAAATTAAAAAATTAAACTACAGGAATAGTTAAGGATTTACCACACAGAAATGGCATTACTATAATACATAAATCAAGACAGTCGTACAAAACATTACATAATGTTTTTGTGTTACATTATGTTACATACAAACATTAGAGATTTTGTTGAGAGATGTTGAGACAGATATAAGACATGCTCTGTAAAATTATTCAAACATTCAAATGCAAAAGTCATTAATGTCAGTAACTATTTTTATAACCACAAGATTGTTTAAATGTGTTCAATCTAAGGAAAGCTCTTTACAATTGTACTTTCTTTGGAATTATATTTAATGAGCTTGCTTTGAATGATTAAATTACCATTCAGGTAACTTCTAGAAAATATGAAAATACTACACCTGCATGTAAGACAATACCTCCTTCCAAATTATCATAGTATGAGACTTTCAAGAAAACAAGACTTAACTAAAACATAAAATGTTATGTAAAATATTAAATGTTTTAGTTAGGCAAAATACAAAGAAAGATATATTTTAGTCAATCTAAACGTATAAAGGTAAGATATTATAGCACAGTAGATAAAAATAAGAGAATTGAAATTTTGTCCTGCATTAAACTAATTTCAAAATACTTTAAATGATAAGTATATTTTGATCATGAAATATACTGCAAATTATTTTAAGCAAATGCAGTGTTTTCACTTTCACCAAATACTGAACATACAAACTTTAATTATACACTTTACTGAGGAATTCCTTAAACCCGTTTATACATTAACAGAACATACCAACAGGCAACAATTTAGCAGACAGCACTGTGGTGTTAAGTTTTAAGAGATAAAGTTGAATTTTTTGCATTTTTAATGCCTGCTAGCCTTTAAATCTTTTTTTTTACCAATACAACCAAAACACATTCAGAAACTTAAAATAAAACAAACTGCAGAATTGTATTGAGGTGCTATATAATACTACAGTAATAAACAGTACTTTGGTGTGGATGTTAGCCCAAAACTCTACCCTATCTATAATGCACTAAACTAACTCTTTAGAAGTCTTGTCCTATTCATGGATATTATTCATTTAAGCATACATTTCAAGTGAATTACGTTAAAAGGTAATTTCAAATACTAATTTTTGTTAATTTCTTCCTTGTACACTGTCTTGTACATTGTTTATGTTTTTGGTTGTTCTTCCTAGTTTGAATGTTAATTGCCATCCTAATTAAAGACGAGATAAAAAAAAAAACATCTGCAAAAGTAAGTACATTAGATGATTATTGTGGAACTTGTCATTTTCAAAATAGTTCCAGGGTAGCAATGCATCTCTTATTACACTAGGTAATTTGTGGTGTTGCAACATTCGCAGCAAGGCGAATCAGAAAAGAGAATCATACAGACCACAAGGATTGTAACAGGTAAAAACACAAATCGCAAAAATCTCTTTACTACTGTTGCTTATGGAATATAACCAGTTAAACCTTTTTAACAATGTTAAGTCATATTTAGAATTGAAATTCTATTCCTAGAACCATTTATATAACTTAATTTTGACATTATTCTATACTTGAGTTCTTCACAATGGCCCCATATCCTTTTAAAAACTTGGAATTCTGCATCAGACTTCAGCTACTCTTTATGGCTGCAGTGGTATTTTTGTTTTTCACTGGGTAAGATCTGAAGGCAGGAAAAGCAGCTTCCCTCCAGCGGTAGTTGCTCTGGAAACCCAACTCCTGTCACTTCCTTTTTACTCCACATTCCTGTATTTTGTAAACAGATTATAGAGCACTCTCAGGGTTGACTTCAGGTCACAGTTCACAATATCTGTGTGGGGGGGGGGGATCACAAAGAAAAATCACAGCAACTATCAGTGAAAAGGCAAATCATCAATTCAGACTACATAAAATGCAGTACACTCTGACAAACATGAGACAGCAGAATTAGTATTTGCTCCTCTACAGGTGTGTAAACAGGTTTTCTTACAAAAAGGCCACAGGCCATCCTATTTCTTTAAAAGAGGAGAGATGCATAGTTTTACTGAAGAGAACTATGAAGAGAACTATGACCTCGATAAGCCCAGCAAACACTCAGTTGTGACGGGTTTTAAAGACACTGCATCACAGCTGAAACCTAATTAAAAGTTATTTTAAAGCCACAGTTATGACTACCACCAGCATTTGAAAAATATGCCAGTAAAAGAGAGCTCTGTAACTCCAGTCATGTACATCCCCCTACCACATATAAGCTGTTACTGTAATTAAACAACCAAGTCTTTAAATAAAAGCTAAAAAACTGCAATAGTTGAAACAGCCACCTCAAGTCATTCATTGATGCTTTAATAAAAAGTAAAAAAAAACTTTACAGCCTGCTGCTGAACTGTGTCATGTGGTCCATGTGTTTCTTCTTAAGAGAATAAAAATGATCTAATTTCAAATTTGTAAGCACATTTTATTTTGCTTAAATGTTGTAATAATTATTACTTGTAAGTAAAATACCACTATTGTGCTAAAAAAACATCACGATGGTCAATACTCATCAAGAGAAACAAAAAACAAAAATGAAAAAAGGCACATCGTGATATGCACATATGGAACTAGAACTGATGGGAGTCTGATTGTAATAGCTAAGATCCATATTAAAATGATTCTGAAATACCACAGGCAGGACCTTACTTAAAGGTTTGGTTGTCAGATCTCATTTTACATTGCTCCTTGTATTCTGCCAACATGTGCTCATGATTTTAATATTTTTTTGTGTGCAAATGCATTTTGTTTTAAAATATCTGTTATTGTTTCCAGTAGACATTAGGGATTTTAGAAAAAAAACAGCAACCAAAGTAAAACAGATTAATACGTATGGTTGAAACACATTAACAGTGTGAATTAAGTCTGGACGTTTTCAGGAGTCTTACCCATTGTAAACCTATTTCATTATCCGGCATAAAATCTTATGAACATTGTTAAAGCCTATCAGAAATGATTAAAATTGAAGTAACGGATACATACAAAAGAGCTATGTACAATGCAAGGTCTGAATTGTAATGCTGTGCTGTAAAAGAAAATAACTACTTCTGCACTTTGTAAAAGACCTATGTAACCATCTGGAAAAAGACCAGAGGTCAGAGATCTAAATTTTTTAAACAGCCTACTATATGCTATTTGTAATATCTTTGGTTTTGCTTCAAAATACTGTTGAAACTGATAGGGTCTGGGGGTTTAACAGTGACGTAATGGTTCAATATTATTCTTAATAGCATTTAGAATCTTCATGTTTAAAATCTATCAGGATGTGTATGAGAAACAGTACAACTTAAAAAATATAAATACAGTTTTGTGTTTGGCCACCATTTTAAAGTACACTAAATTTTGTATATACAGTATTATAAATCATAATATAACCCTTGTAATTCATATTTTATTTCCCTTCAAATCCTATGCCAAAAGGAGTGAAATAAATTTCTGAAAAGAGTATCAACTGCAACTGCAATTCTTACTGATGAACAATGACGTGAAAACCTTATTGAACTGTTTTCCTTATAATAAGGCCTGCTATTCAAAAAAAAAATATTCCTGATGCCAAGACATTGCTTTTTGGTCCATATTCTCTATAGAGTTTAAAAATAGTCTTGAGTCCTCCATTTTTATAGCAGCTGCTTTTCATAACTGAAATGGAAAAAGGGGTCACTCACTATTAGTACAAAATTTAGCAGGCATAAAGGCTTTTCCACAAGGCCTTCAACCACCCGGCAGTAAAACATTTAAAAATGTGTTGGCTATTAGAAAGAAAGAGAAAACCGTGAAAATTAATAAACCATGATGGTAAACCCAAAAAATCTTTTTCCTGTATGTCTGTTTTTATTTAATTCATATAGCCATAACCTTAAATGTGGTGTAGGTTTTACCCCCTTAGTACAAATGCTGCATGGAGTTTCATGCAAAGTTACACAACCTCCTACCTTCAGGTCTGGGTTTGGGTCTTTCCAGTCCACCATCCTGCATTAGCTCAAAGGAGAAGGACACATTATGCACCTACAGTAGAAACAAATGCACAACCCTTATGGAACAGAAATAAAGACATGGCAAAATGCTGTGAGATATCTGCAATCTAATTTGCAAAGTATGAAAAGCTGTGATGGAAAACTTATGTATTCTAGTAACTCGAGCTTAAATGCAATAACAAAACTTACACATACATGGACTTAAACTTGCATGTTTCTTATAAACTTCTTCAACAATTTTTTAAAGCACAAAACGTGGAACACTGAGCTGTAAGAGAGGTAGGAACTGCATGGAGGATATTGGAATAAAGGCTATATCCAGAGGGCTTAGCAGAATGCTTCATTGGATCCTGTGGAGACTTCTGCCTGTCCCATAAGAATGCCTTAAAGCGCCTTTCCATATGTGTGTGGTCTCATTTCACAAGTAACAAAGGACTGTTATGCTGCTTCCATACTGAATCACTCAGCAAAGAGCACTGATTTTCATAAAACTCACTTTATATACTGTGTTCATTCTATACTGCATTCAGCATGTGAACAGATTGCATCAGCACTAAAATGGATTAGCCTTATCCACTGAATCTGCATGGATAAACATTTTCTGTTACACCATGTAAAGCACATACTGCTGTGTTTGCAAGGAGCAGTTTAGTCAGTTTGGTACAGAATCTGGAATGCTAAAACACTGACTGCTTGGGAAGTGAAATAAAAAGCTCTGGGAAATTACTCTGCCTGAGTAAAGGAATAAGACCTCCTTGAGGCATGAGATAAGTTATAGCTCAGTACACCTGGAAGTGCTCTCTAAAGCAGTACTGCTAGCCTGGTTAGGGCTACCCTTATTAATCCCATCATAAACAAAATCACAAAGAGTTAATAGTTCACATAGGTACTGTATAACACTGAGCAAAGGCCAAGTATGAGGTGAAGATTAACGAGCATGAAAAATAATAAGCAACAGTCATCTGAAAACAATGAAACCATGTACTAAATACAAGAAGCAGGCATTTAATTACTTTAAGAAGATTTTATAAGTGTAATGTGGTGTCTAAGTTAATATTACCAGCAGGATACAATATTGTACAATTGGGTTAAACAAATATTTTAACATGAAGAACAGGTGATGTAAACAATTTTCTTAAAATAGATTTGATGTGGTTTAAGCTCTCTTTCACAGAGACACAATCACACATTAAGAATTAGAGTGTTTCAATAAGTAAAGATGTTTATTTCCCTTTTGTATTTCAACAATCTTCTTTTTAAGATAAGTTTGTTTTCCACTTAAAGGAGAGCTCTACTTATGCATTTTAAAATACCTAAAAAGAATCAAAAGCTCTCACAGACAGGGGGCATTGCTGGAGGGTCTTATGGCAGCACCTGCAGCAGACTGTAGAACAATGCAGTTCTGCTGGATCTGGAGCATGCATTAAATAAATTATTCCATGAAGGCAGGATGAGAAAATGTAATAAAAAGTCCTTAATAATGAACTGCAGCCTCTTTTGACTGTTTTAACAAAATACAGATTAATAGCCTTAAAACATAATGGTGATTGAATTTTAAAATGTCACACAGCCTTACAAAATCCCATTGTTTGCAATGAAAAAAATAAAAGCAATATAAAAAACAAAAGAGAAAAAAAAGGGAAGAAAAGGCTCAAGAAATAAATGGAAACATTTCTATGGAAACTTTAAACCTTACTTCTGATCAAAACACCAAAAAGACAAGGCTCTGGCATCCATGAGCTAAACCAAGAGGAAAACAAACAGAGAAAGACGCAGAAACCCCAAATTAAATAGCAATTAAAGTTGTTCAAAGTTGGTTGGAAGAAATGAACAAATCCATAATCTTTAATCACTTCAATCTGGGAGTTCTGCAGTCTGTACTGTATATGCACAACAAATGTACTTTAAAATCTCACGGATGTAAAAGTAAACGGTACACATGCACTTTTCTTTCTCAGCCCCCAGATGCGTTATTCTGAGCATCCCCGAATAGCTTCCCTCAAGGAATTGTTTGTGTCCATCTCCTGAGAACTTCAACCCAAAAAGTATGCCACAGGAAAACGCAATTGTTACAAACATGTGTTATTGGAAAAGAAAATACAGCATGGTGCGCTTAAAGGACAAAGGATTATGATTCACTTATATCAATAAGAAGGGGTTTGGATGCAGTAATGTTCTTTTGTAATCTGTTAAAAAAACTTGCTACTACATGCCAAAGAAAACGAATTCCATAAAAATGGGAATCATAACATTTTCCAATGTCAACCAAATGTCAATACGATGTATTCAGAAGAAGTTCTTTTTCAAATTGAGTAGGCCTTTTTCAAGATAATTCCTCCCTCTTAAACTCCAGTCCTAACATTGCAGTTCTTTGGATTTTAGAATATTAGGGTTAATCTGAGCCATCTACCAGTGTAATATTTGTGTTAAAGTTGTAACTTTCAGACTGAATTTAACTAACTTTAACTCACTCCTTGTACAATTCTCTGATGTTGTGGTTTTAAACATTACTTACTCAGTGCTGCCATATAAAAAAAAAATACTGACATGAAATAAGAGTTTCAGTTGACATGACGGCAACAGCAAAAAAATGGATACATTATTGTGTACATCTCTGATCAAGAATTCTAAATAGCTTTCTGCAAGAAACTCGGATTGTTTGTCTCCTGGGAACTTCAACCCAAAAAGTATTCCATATGAAAATGTTACAAACAACATGTTATTAAAAAAATACAGCATGGTGCATTTAAATAACAAAGGATTATGAGTCACTTATATTAATAAGAAGGAGTTTGAATGCATACAGCAATGCTCTTTTGTAATCTTTAAAAAAAACTTGCAACTACTTTCCCTAGAAAGGCAAGACTCTCACTGTCAATATTCTACATCCAGTAAAAATAAAAAATAAATTATAAAAAGGAAAAATGGATATATGTAAGAAATCACATCATTGAACATTACAAGGCCCAAAATAAATAAATTATAAAAAGGAAAAATGTATATATGTAAGAAATCACATCATTGAACATTACAAGGCCCAAAACAAGGCACATCTGTGTCCTGGGTGTGGTTGTAGGGTTTGTAGTCGAGAGACGAGACATGAAAAATGCAGTGATTATTTCAAATCATGTGGGTTTATAACAAAATAGCTCACAATTTTATTGTAAAGTGAAAAATACTATTGTTTTGTACATGTTTTTGAAACTTTTGCTACATTGTTTTCCTAACCTTATCAATAACAGATGTAAGCCTGATAAATTCTTGAACAAGTTAACTTAGTGTTAGACCTGCAACACTCCAATCTCTGGAAACAGCTCCCATCCTAATTGTGAGATGAAGTATCCCAAGTAGGGGTCCATGAATAGCATCTTTCATTTCCTTACGTACAACTGGGGAATACCACTAGGTCCCAGTAATTTATTTTTTTCAAGATGTCCTAACCCCTACAGAATCTCATTGGCAGTGTTCAAGTTCTTCGATATTCACAGAGCTCCTTCTGTAACATGGGGAATGTTAATGAAAAAAATGTAAAAATATCTGTGGGAAATATTAATTAGCATGTTTACTATTTCCATATCATCCTCTATCATTAACCCCTGTGAAATCTATTTACTTCATCTTTTACAGTTCTTTATTACTGTAACACTGAAAAAAAACACTGAAAGATTTTTTGGGAGTAACTCTGACCATAACAACAAGTGCAGGTTATTCAGAACAATTTAACTCTGACATGTTTTGGAAGCAAAACTGAGCTGCTGCCAAAGCAAATATTTGTTTGAAACAACTGTTGCTGAAAATTGAGGCTTGTGAAGCCAGAAAGAAGCCTTTTAAAAAAACAAAACAAAAAACAAACATATATTGTTCTCAAAGTGGACACCTGATTAAACCCTCCTTTTGGAATGCATGATGTACCATCAGCATTACAAGTTTGAATCCAAGCTGTGCTACAAGTCCACTGTGGGTGGAAGCACCTAGGAATGATGTACATTTGACTGTTCGATTTTTTAAGACAACAGAATTACTGAACATTACTGAGCTTTTTTTCCCCAAATTATTTTTTCACCATGTGGAGAGTCACCTATGGACATTTCATCTGCACTTAGATACTTTGCTGAATATAATACAAATAAATCACAAGCATAATGGACAAAACACATTTCTTGGAGAAGTCCAAGACATAGTGGTTTTTGGAGCACTGAGAGTGAAAAGGGTAGACGGTTTTATATTGACTGAAATTTCTTAGTTGATTTTTTAAAATAAAAAAAACACTATGAAGAAGGCCAATTTTTAGCAGATGTTGAAAAGCTCTACTATTTTTTTTTTTATGCAACAACCTGTATGCAGATCAATTATCACAGAAAGTATGAAATAGGAAAACAAGAAGAAGAATTGCAATTTTTAAATATACATATCTTTACAGGGTAAAAAAAAAAGCTTTAAGGTTGGAACTGTCTTCAATAACTTAAAAAAAACACTGGGGTACCAACTACCGCAAGTTAGCTGAGCATTTGTTCCCCAAAAAATCTCTACCACTTTCAGTGTCGGCAACTGAAGTGGCAGGTCTCAAGGTCAATTATTTCAACATACCTTTTGATCAAAGTTTTCGGGTGTAAGGAAGAAGTTGTATAGTGGGACAAAGTATCCCTCCAAAAGGCCCATGAGCAAAACAAGGTAGACACCGTCAGCAAACTGAAGGAGAACAGAACATGCATGATTTTTTTCTGCCCAGCACACCAAAGCATCATAAAAATGTGAGCAAGTCTGCACAATAAAAAATGTAGCTCTCTCATATTTTATTAACTTCATGTTTACATTGATATTTGTCCCATTTTGAATCAAATGTAAAAACAGCCTTTTGGAGCAATATATTTAACATTTTGACGAGATCAAATGACTGCACAAGGTACTATGAATTATGCAGGTTTCAGTCACAAATAGTCCACTTCACATCTTATTAAAACATTTTGCTATTGTAAGAAAGTAATTCCAGCCACTTTCTGTTAATAACAGGTAAAAAGAATACATTCACATAGTGATTTAAACATATTGTTTGAAATTTAAAGAATGTGTCTAAAAGAAAACTTAACGGAGAGAAGAGTTTTTATTTAAACCGGCAAATACTATAATGTCAAGTCAGGGACAGATATGAGTGATATGGATAATTATGTACCTACAGAACATTATGGTTTGTTTCTTTATGACAGATTATTCTCTTAACAATGTGTATTTCTAATAAGAAACAAAAATGTGAATTCAGTAACACAGAAATAAATTAGATTTAAGATGTTTATTCTTGCGAGTTCTGTACTTATCACTTTACTTTGCCTCCATTCAAGGAAAAAAAAAATGTTTCTGTTTGTTCCTTTATTTCACAACTCTGTAACAATGTCACAATGAACCCAGTAACAAACAAAATACAATAACTAGATGGTTTGGCAGCATTCTGTCCCTTTTATTTTCTTACCTGAGTGTCCAGTTCGGCTACCTCCAAATTCAGTTTGTTTAAATGCTTGTTCACAAATGTTATCAGGGTCTGGAAAACAGCACGCACTTTACAAAGTGGGTTCACTGAGTTAGGAATAATACAAAACAGTCACACTTCCTGAACTAATGTAAGTGTTTGTTCTAATGATGAGGTATAGATAAACAAAACATACTTCAATTACAAAGAAAAGTGCTTGCAAGAGATATAAAATATCTTGTGAATCAGTGAATCTGCGATTCATATAACTGGAATGAAATTACAAGTGCAGATAAAAACGTTATATATTTAAATATAATATTTAAAGTACTTAGAAAACTGCTAAGTTCATCACCATTGAATCTGTAGGTAAATCTGTACCTTTTTAACAACGTTGAGTTTGTCTGGAGCATGATCAAATAGTGTATCAAAAGCATCCCGCTCTAAAAGATTACAAAATAAAGAAGTTGTTATGTACAGTATTCCAACCACAGGACAGTTTTTCTAATGACAGCAGAAGTGCTATAGAAATGCTTTGGTATCATTCTATCATTTGCACAAGCTATGCTAAAACACACAGGAAATTTCACAGCATTATCACTTTTCCTGTTTCTTTTAATAATTACCCTCAATGAAACACAGCCTTCCAGTGGAAAAAAACCCACAAATATGAATAAATCATATTTGGAATCAGTCAAATTTCATTTCAGTGCACTAATGCAGATATGGAATTTGCATTTATTTATGACAAGTACAAAGCTGTAACTTTACTAAAGTCACTATTGTTAACTTCTTTTATTGGGTGTACTGCACAAAAAAGCTTGTTGCTACATTTAATTTGTTATTATTATTAAGTGACATAAAATAGGACTCAGCTCACTCCTCACAAAAATATAATGGAATGGAATGAAACTGTACATAGGCTCAAGAATACAAATCCAATATTTAATTTATGAAGCACTTACGAGATTGAGGCCTTCCTGTAACAAAGAATCACACTTCAAGAGTTCCTTATACTTGAGAATTCCTCTTACATCAAACACTGCGTTAATTACAATGCAACTCACTATATAAAATGTTTCTTTGACAACTGACAAGCTGCTTTTCAAACAATATTAAGTATTATTTTTCACAACAACATTTAAGTACCTACCATGCCTGCCAGATAAAGCCCTATAAAGAAGGGAAAGAAAGCAATGCTACAGTTAAAAATGGACTGATTCCCATATTAGAATAATGTACTTATGCTATAAAAAATCAAGAGTGCATTTTTCCATTTGAAATTTTACATATGCCGTCAAACAGATTGTGTTACCAGGGGGATGTGATTAGGAGCCGGACTTGTGTCCCTGAGAGACAGAATCAAATCAGCTGGGCAAGGCCATTATTCCAGAGAGAGGCTTCTGTCCGAGAATGCCTTTTCTTCTCTTCCAATCTGCTCTTGCAGAAACATTTTTCCGCAACGTTTTTGAGTAGCATGACAACAGCATTATGTCACAGGCTATTTTCTTGGCTAGCTTTCATGAGCTGGACATCAATTAATTGACTACAGGTTTACAAAAGCCAGTGTTAGATGCACAAAAATATGGCACAAAGCGTGGGTCTCTGCACAGAAGAAATGTCTTAAGGCTTATTACGTACTCATCAATCAGTGCTCATTTTAGCACTTGAAACTTTTCTTTAGAATGAACACTGTTAGTTGACCTTTTGAATTGAAATGTAATACTACTTTTTAAACTTCTTAATAATTTAGCAAAAGAACCTTAGAAATTGCACTGACCCTGTTCTGAAAGCATCCCTACAAGTCCCTAGGAAAGGTCAGACATATCACATACGTTTCTCTCGTCTCTGACCATCCTTGGTATTTTAACTTGCTTTTGAGAATGGGAAATAAAAGAAATAGAGAAGGCCATCCCTAAAACTGTCTTTAGGCTTTTCTTTGACACTGACTCAACTGTCTCAACACTCAGGTTGAGAATTCTACTGTTCTTCACTGTATTCCTTCAGGGGGTTTAACTAGAGTATCAAACCCATGGCAAAGTGATTGAATTTCATCTGGGCATCTGTATTCCATTAAGAGAAATCGCTGACTACGACAGCGCTGACATACTCAGTGTTGCCAGTGATTTCCTCCTGGATCTGGCGAGATTGAAGAATTCCCTCACGTTTCTGTGGGAAAAAGGACAAAGCACTAAATTATAGAAGACACCAGGAAAAAATACATATATCTTATATGGATTGAATTCTCCTCAACAGGTTTATCATTTCCAATTTTTTCAAAGCACCACAGTTTTTTTTTTTAAATATTATTTCCATCTGGAATTCTAAAGAGATAAAAAAAAGTCTTGGAATTTAAGCAGAAACCTTTTATTCAGCAACTTTGGGGTGCACCTTAACATTTCCAGGGATTAATTATTTGCAAAAAATGTAGATTAAAATGCTACACAACACTTGAAACAAATAGAAAATGGCATGAAAAACACGATAATTTTTACACCTGGAAATGAGTACTTAAGTAAATAAGAGAAGAAAACAAATTAATTGGAAGGTGAAGATGATTAGTGCATTAGAAAGAATCACTAGAGGATTAGAATTTAACTGCAAAACATATTAGGTTACCACATTGGACAAAACCCAGTAAATTGGAAAGGACAGTTTACCTGAACTACCACCACTTGTATGGACACATGGTCAGGAAGCCTAATGGGGGCTCTGAAATGCTGGGACAGAGCCACCAACAAGTGCAAAATGGCCACCAGGCTCTTAGCGTGAACAGCTGTCAAAGGCAAAAGAAATAGGACATCATAAAAAGCTGCAGCAACCTGCAAAATATTTTAATCCAGATTTCTGGCTTTATCTTCCAATTCCTAGGACTGCAATTTTAAACAGGGTCTAGCTATGGGTACTTCAGGATGCATGATTATTAGCTTCACATCTATTTTCTCCACATCTGGAAGCTACATCATTTTACCAGGTGCTGATTAAATACTCAATGTCAAGCAAAGGTATCATACTGTACATGTTAAATAAAAATAAGATGGTCTTTGTGTATGTCTATATACTGTACTAGATCTTAGGAACGTTTTTAGAAAACAATAACTCAAAAGATAGATTCATGATAGTACACCATGATTTCATAGTTATCCAAGAACAGAACAATAGAACAGTAACTAGCCTATACTAGGCAATGAAGCTGAATGACTGAGCATTTCTTAGTGAAGTAAAAATACTATTTAAGAACATAAGAAAGGTTGCAAATATCAACCTGGAATGTCCACTGAAACAAACATATGAAAAATAGTAAATAAACCAATAAACCACTAGCTTTATTGTGTGATGACAAAATGTCATACAATTTTGTTCAGAGGTTCCTAAAATGTCTGGTGGCTGATTATCTTTTGATTTGGGTCACCCAAAGGTTACATACTCAAAAACTAGCAACTTTTTATTTGAGTGCATTCATGTCAGTAATCAAAATCACCCGCGATCAGAACAGCACAAATTTTACCATAGGCAGGTCTGTTGAGTACTGCAAAGTGATCAGCTAGTACAAAAAAAGAAAAGTAATTATTTAAAGAAAAGGTTGAATTAAAAAAATGCTTCAGGAGATAACGAGGAGGTAACCTGACAACCTGGGGCATGTAGTCAAAAACAAATGGTAATCCTGCTCAATCTCTTTGCTTTGTTTTCTTATAAATCCATAAAGAATAAAAAAAGCAAAAAAATGTTGATGGAATTAAACACTCATGAATGTTTAATATGAATTAAGTTAATTCATCTTAAGAAAATGCACAGCACTAAAGAAGTGCCATGCTTCAAACAACACTGATTAGCCACGTGAACTCTGTTGCAAAATCAAAACAGAAATCTGAATGAAAACTGTACTGACGTTGTTAAAGGTCATTGGATTATTTGCTGGGCTAATGGCAAAATGTTTTGTCCCCATTGCTGTAAAATGTTTAATCTTTGTGAAGTTTTAAAAGAAGAGCCACCTATAGTATCTTAGATATGAGACATAATTCTTTGCTCTTGCAGTTTTAGCTCTGTTATGGCTTAAGAACTTTACCATCTTGGAAATCTTGAAAATTTGTTGAAAATGAAATGTCAAGCCAGCCTCTTACAAACAGCATTAAAAATGACTTGTACATGCCTTGCTGATCAGTCCTCTATCTAGCCATTTGTGGTGAGTTGCTGGCAAGTGCCACAGAGGTAGTTGGCCAAGGAGCTCTTGCAAGACCTATGACATTCCAGGCCTTGGCAAATTTGTGATGTTGATAACAGCTGTGACACTCCTCCAATCAGCACTAACTCTCCTGTAACACACTGTGGAGCCTTAAGGCAATCACTTTCCTAGATCGGTAAAGAAAAGAAATGTCATATTTAAATTGGCGATTCCAATTTTAAATTTATGCATATTTCTTGTACCGTTTGTGGTATGTGTGTATTTAACTCATGATCTTAGAGCATGACAAGACAATCCACTGAGATGCAAGGAAAACATGATAGCGATCTCAGATTTTCTATTCACACGGCTTACTCTGACAAAACTGAAGGAGACATTTCCAAGGCTTGCTCATGTGCTCAAGAGGATAAACCCAGAATAACTATCACAAATGGAAACTACAATATCACCTCCTGACAGCTTCTTAATGTGACCAAGGCTGTACATTAATAACATAACACTTACAGTCGACATTCCACTTGATATTCCTAGGGGAGATTTTCAGAGTGTCATTGATCTTCTCTAGGACCGTCTGCAATTTCTGCTTCTGGGCGATTTCAGACTGAGTCACTTCTGCAACGTTCAGTTTCTCACCCTCCAGCTTTTCTACATGTGAAAAAAAAAAGTGCTCACAACAAAAACAGATCCCAAAACAGAGTAAAATAAGTGCACACACAAACCATTTAGAAGTGCTTTCTTAAGACACTCGGTTAAAAAACAACTATGCAATAAGAAGTTGTTGACATTAAGATGCAATTAATCTTTGTTTCCAAAACAAAAACTGGAATTCAAAAACTGGCTTTTTATAACCCTGCAATTTGAAATTGCTTTGATTCATTAAATGGGCTCACTGCCATGACATTGTTACTATTTCCTCTAACACAGCCTACAGTAGAGTTTGCATTGAACAGAGAAGCAATGCAGAGCTCAGTCTGACAGCACTATGAGCTAACAGATGCCTGGCAAGAAACCAGACTCGACCTAGGTCTATAGAAACACAGTATATGGAGCTACAGTCACAGTCTGTTATTAACAAAGCCCGGACTTGAACTGGCAACATCCTCGCAACAGGGTTCAGCTTCTTCCCCGAACAAGCACCTTTACAAACTGTGCATCCTGGCAATGAGCATTCATTTTAAATTAAACATTTTCTTCAATGTTTCCAATACCTAAGTCTTCTTTTTTTGCAAATCTCAAGAGCAGGTCAGACAGGATTGCAAGAAAAACTCTGCAGCACTTTGAATCTAAACACTTTTGTTTCAAGGATAATTTGAAATAAGGACAGGTGTCTTTACCAAAAAGCTTCTGAAGAACCTGCCCATCGTACAGATCCTCTGCAAGGTCTTTCACGATGATCCTTTCTCCAACTAGCACATCATTAATCCAGTCTATTATAACCTGTGAAACAAAGGGACACATAGAAAAAAAACAACCAAAATGACAGACTGCTAACAGCAATGTCACGTTATTTAGCAGACAGCTAAAGGTGTAAATGTAGTCATTTACAATTTTTTATTTTAAGAATGATTATCCAAAGGTATGAGAGAATAACAATGATGTTTTAAAGAACATTATATACAGTAAACCTACATCTGCAGAGTGTAATTACAACGTAAACTGAAAAGTGCGGTTTATATGGTCTACATTTTACAGAAATTTCAACTTTGCTCCATCTTCTGCAATACGATGTGCTCAGACATTTCTGCTACCTGCCTGCCCCCACAACTTCTTATGAGACTTCAACATCAAATGAAATACACAGCTGTGGGACAATGTGCCTATGGTGAACAGACACAGAAAAATGTGCTTTATGAATTCTACATTATTGGGTGGCACAATATATTTCTCCTTGCTAAAATCTACATGACATTTTTCAAAAGCTTATCTTCATTGGAACAGCTAGCTTTTGAAATACCAAAAACAGCAACAAAAACCCTGATTGAGACAGAATACACTGTACAGAACAAAAATATAAAAAAATCAATAAGATCGTATACTGTATAATGTGATATATCACCAGTCTGAGTTTACATTTAAGAAATGTTCTTACTGTAACTTTAAATGGTATCTCTTTGTATTATTTAAACATCTTTGTATATTTCCAATTAATATTTCTGACTTGAGATGCACAGCAGGTCACTCAACTGGTAGTATTACTTAGACTTCGATAAAAACTGTTTTAAGGTTCTTGAAGCATACAAGTTTGTTCTTCAATCAACAAGTTAAAATGTCAAACCTTCATTAGCTCTTGAAGCTTGGGGTCATTTTTTGAATTTGGATCAACCATTGTTCTAACTTCATTCTCCTCTGCAAAAGTAAAGAATACATGAACAGCACAAATACTGTAAATGACTATTGATCTAATGGCCACATTGCCCAGCATTGACATTTTTACGTTCTGTAGGTCTTACCTAACATGGTGTCTTCACGATCCAACTCAAAAGGAATTGGGCTGAGGGGCAGATTGATGGCATTCATTCCTTCCTCCTGCAGTTCAGACACTGGGGCAAAAAACACGCACAGTGGGATTCAACATACCGGTTTCATACACATTTTTCAACAAAAAAAGAAATGTTTTTTTTTTTAGTACATTTAGAATCCTCATTAATCTTTTTTCTATATTCTCCCCAATCCGGAATTGTTAATTTTTCTCGTTATGATGCATCTCAGTTGGGGCTCTGTTGATTTGTCCACCCATTATAAGTTGCTGTGGAGTTTACAGTGTGTCAAAAAATGAAGAGTGCAAATAAAATATGATAGGTCATTCTGCACCAACTGGACGAGTGGCACCTCTGTCACTGATATCACTGCAGAGCCTGCAGGCACCCAGGAAGCTACAGAAGTCACTGTGCTACTGGGACCACTGGCAGGACTGGTCCAGTTGTGTGCTAACAGCCACAGCTGGCTTCTAACTCATGACCAGACAACTACTGTACATCTGTTTCACTGTTCCTTCACCACTCCATCCTTTAACAATCAGATCAATTACAGCCCTTGCACCTAAAACACTTGCAATTTAACTTAAAAACAAAAAAAGTAATTTCAACTGTTCTCAGTGAAAACTTCTGATTACTGTTTTAATTTTAAAGCTACTGTAATTAATTACTTAAATCTTCCAGGAATTGTGTTATTACAATTTTAGAATATTGTTTTTAGCATTTTAAAATAAACTTTTAGTAATGAGCATATACATAAACTCTTATGTACGGTATATGTATTTATAAGTATATTTTACAATGTATTATATACCTTAATGTATTATATAAGGTTATCAACATTTTAAAACATAATACCTATTAATTGTACTGTGACCAATGTATAAATATACATTTCCAAACCTATTTGTGACAAATATTTTCTTGATGTAACCAAGACCCGTACATAGTCACACATCAAATAGTCTGTAAGCCTGAGATTTGGATAAGCAAAGTTTTATAGTACTGTATTTTCAGCTTCATTTGCTTTTATTAAACGTTCCTCTGATCTGCCTTCTTTATCCAGATGTTTGCCTTCATTACAGTATTTTAGCTTGAATGTTTAAATTGCTAACTTTAACTGCCAGTTTAATGTCTTGCTGCTGACTCTTGTTTTACTGCATGTATTGCACGTAACGACTGCTATTATAAAATTACTGCCACGTGGGTATGCCAAAATTCTGCAAATCCACATGCACAGCTGCTGAAAAAAAACACTTCCAATTTTTACAGTGGCACAAAGATATCATTCCTGCTACACTGCGACTGTGGACTCACCTGTGTGGGGACGTTTTTGACAAAGACAACCCACATGAACACCATGTGTAGTCTAATTGCAGTGGCAGTGCACTAAATTGGAACAATTACCTTTGGAGTGCGCTTTAACAACAGATGATAGCACTATAATTGGGACTTACATACGGCTAATAGATGGCCTAACTGCACTTCCCAGTTATTTTTCCCAATTTATTGCACTTTCCCTCAAGTTAAACTGCGCTTGTTTTTTTTATGCTTTACATTACAAGAAATTGCGGACGGATAGTGCCGCACACCAGTTTTGCTCTAACAAGGGCTTTCCTCTCCAATTTCGTGTAGCTTCTGTTGGATTTGATTTAAAAAAAAGCTAGACCCTGTTTTTAACATCTAAAGATAGGCATGCTCTTTGTATCTGCTCACAATGCATGTGCAATGCAGAGAATTTTCATATTTACAGAGACCATGAAACACAAATGTTTGGTTATGTAAAACAAGTACAGTACATTAGGGGGAAATACAGAACAAGAATGCTACTGTCCTTGTCCAAAATTAATGACAGACAATCCTAGAAGGTGTGTCATATTGAAAACATTTTTAAAATTCTTTATTTTAAAACTAATTTCAGAACTGCTTATTCAACTTTATGGGGAAAACATTTATGACAATATAAAATTCTTCTTCTGAAAAGCACATTATTCACCAAAATACAATTTTCCCCCAGGTTTCTTTGTGAGTTGCCTGAGACACTAGCATATGAAGCTAGCGCTTTGCCCCTTGGTTAGGTCCAGGGACCATTAAAGCATCTTTTTAATGGTCAATATCCAGGTATGTATTTGGAGGATTGATCATATTCAAATATAAAGGTTTTTTATACAAACTGACATTTAAGATTTAAAACAGTTTTAAAAAAAATAAACATCTATTTTTTAAGTAGGCCACTACCTTGTCAGATATGCTTTTAGGTAAAGCAGTGTCTATCACCAGGAAATCACAATTCTAAGAAGCAGTTTAGAAGCTGGCTTCAAGCTAATATAATTTGCTATTAGTTCCATTCTATTCTATTAGTATCAGTGTTGAGGGCTACAATCACCACTGCTTGAAAGTCAATTTCAATCTGACCGAAAGCTAAGCATATGTAAATTAAATGAAAAACAGTTTTACAACACTGGGATGCGGTCTTCATTTCGAACTGCATCATTCCCCAGTCTTCGTGAACAGAAAAGATCAGTTTATGTTGATGGTAGGCATTTATTTTATTAAAAAGGATTGCATGTCGTATAAACCATCATTGGATCTGGTTTCCTGCATGATGCGAATGCATGCATTAAAGTGGAAGGAATCTGCAAATTGACCACGCATGTTGTTACTGAAAAATGAGCTTTAACAATCAATGGAAGTCTTCTCCTCTTCCCTAATTAGAGTTAACTTGCTTTAGAAATATTGAAAAAACATTTTTTGCGGAAATGATTTTGCGTTTAAGCAAATGTATATGATATTGGTGGCATTTCATTTCTAGAAAGAAGTAAAGACAATTTTACCAGCTGCACTTTGCACACTCCTGCATTAAATAGCAGTCTCTGTGCCTTACAGAAATCCTATCGGCCTGTTGAACAGAATGACAGAGGCAAACATAGTACATTTATATAATATTTAAAATAGTTACCGTTTTTGAATATAGACCTGTCAATCTTTACTTTGAGAACAATCCTATTATTAAGGTAACTCAGTAATCAAGGTTTATACAAAGCACCTCTGCCTGCCCTGTTATTAAAGTCAAGAAAAGAAAGAACATAAACTCTGCAAACCAGAGGAGAGAATCTGGCACATCCAGGAGAGCAGTCTAATTATAATTATGATACTAAATTCAGAAGTTTAAATTGATCTTTTCTTACAGCATTTGTATATATAAAAGAACCTCTGTGCTTCACCCTCTTCTACACTCCAGCAAGCATTTTTTTCTCAGATTTTAAGGAGAAAAAAACCCGACATGCAAAAGTCTCAAACACAAGGGGGCCACTTGACTACACATGCTTGTGCAGTTGCTTTGAGCTCACGGATCCTTGAAGCCTTCCAGCCTGTTTGTTTGACGCCTCAGAGATAATCACCATCAGTTAGTCTATCCTTCTCAGTATCAAATTAATATATAAATAAGCCAATAGATAATTAATACCGCGCAGCAACAGCGCTGTCATCGCTCCCCAGGCAGCGCAAACGTGTTTGTCCCAGTAGGAGAGCTGGATGTAGCTTTGCCGTGAAGCGATGTGCTGGGTGGGCCTGCGAGGGGAAAGTGCTGGAGTACATCCCGTGCTGGATTTCACAGCTTTTCACAGCTTCACATCGGAAGCAGCTTCTGCCACTGCTATTCCAGCTCTGTAGGTCTACATCAACAGGGGGTGTCTGTATCCTGACAATCAACACTATGATTCAGATGTGCTGACATCCCCCCCCCCACCGTTGATGCAAAATTAAAACACTTTATTTTTGAGACTCCTATAAGGCTTAAAAAAAAAAAAAGGTAGGCAGATTCCTTGGTTTTCATCTGCACCTTCAAGTGATTAGCAAGAGCAGAGACTCTTCGAGTCTTCGTTTCTTGCCATCTTGAAAAGTTATCTGTTCTACTTATTGGACTTCATATTCAGACATATAACATCTCAGAAAACAATGCACTTCTCCAGATGTTCTAATCAGATTTCTTTTAAAGTACAAAATACAGAAACGGAGTTTGTTAGATCCTGTATTCTAAAGTTTTCGTCGCTAAAGTCAAGGGCAAGGGCACATAGGGCACATACATCTCGATAATAATGGCATGATTCACATAATGCAAAGCAAAGTCATTTCTTTAACCCGAAAAAGATTAATAATCAGTTTATGTTTTAGGCAGTATACATGCATTTCATTGTGTGCAAACAGTAAAGTAAAATTTGCAAGATCAAATAAGCTTAAATAGAATGCTGGCTTCAGCCTGGCATATAAAGTTCATTACAGTGCCTTCATCGTAACCTGGCACAATGACAAACTGCTCCCTGCAACAAGACTGTGTGTCAGTGACTGATTCACTCCTCATCCCCTCCTCAGATTCAAGAGGACAGAAGGAAGGACCTACCTTGGGGACACAGTGCTCCACACCCCATTGCAATCTATCCAAGGTACCATCATCTTCCCTGAACAATATGCACTGTCACTAAAATGTTCTCAACCTTTTATAGCCTGCTACGGCCTCCCACTCCTATCTGCTAGATGGATTATCTCTCTTTTTTAAGAAGGGCTGCTCTCACTTGTCAACTTTCAAAAGCTGGCTCTCACCTCCATTTATCACTATGGCTGAGTCCAAATGACTGAGTGTTCATAATTTAATATTTCGCCCCATGGGACTCAAAGACTTTATATCAAATCGAATCAATCCTTCAAACATTGTGGTAAGTTCCATTTTCTTTTTCAGTGTAAATACGGTACATCTGCTGTCTCGGAGCCTTCCTGGGACCTTATTGATTCAAGTGTATGAAAACACCAGCAGGCTGAAATCACAAAGAAATCTATTTGTTGACCATTAAGGATTTGAAGCAAACATCCAGGCAAATTGATATACAGTAAATATAGCTGTAGACAAAATGTTCTGACACCCTTCATTTTAAACGATGTTGTTCATTTAGTGTATTAAACATTTGATTCATTTTACATTTTGGATTATAAAACTTTCAATCAACATTCAGGGAAAATATTCTGATAAATGCAACGGTTAATGACATAAAACATTACCACAGGGTGCTTTATCCTATTCAGACAACACAATTGTGAAGGTTGTGTGACTTGGAGCAATGAAATGTTGATATGCACAATGGCAGCAGATAGTGAACAGCTCTGTGCAGCTGTACACCTGTTATTCATATGTGCGGCACTTATTATAAACACAGGTGATGGGCACACAGAGCTGAAGATACTCTCCATGGTGTCTAACATTGTCCAAAATCATGTAACGCTTAGAGTCACATTTGTACTAAACCTTGTTTCTTCACACTGCGCTATTTTCAAAATAATAATCTGTTTTGAGTGAACTCATTTTATAAACACTCTCTGTATTAGCAAAACGATTTAGAATTGTAGCGCTTAGACAATGGAGCCATTTTCAGGACAGCTTTGGTGCAGTGTATAGCACAGAGATAGTGTCACAAGTGCTCAGAAACATACCAACTCCTGGAAATAAAAAAATAAAAAAGCCCATTAAAACAAGTAGAGTACACATTTTTGCTCTGAACTACAGCAGCTTGCTGTTTATCTTATAATTCAAATAACACAAAGGACCAATACTTTGTTCTGTAAAAAACACACCAGCATTTCAGCTACTGTAAAAATTATTTTTATCTGCTCTTCCTTCATTGCTCTGCTGGCCTAGTTGCACATGTAATGAAATAACCAAATATTCTTCCATACAAGGCAAGAATGAAGCACTCCACTGAATATAAACATTACAACCTCCTGTGCTTTTCAGGCAAGTCCTGTACCGACTCTTTAGGAAATAAGCTGTATAGGGCTTCTGGTAAGTGTATATTAGGGCATGGCCACATGTACTGCCTGTACAGTATGCTCTATGTCAAATCATGATTGCATTTAAATAGCTACTAATAGTTTTCACTATAGCACTCATAATACCTGGCCTAGTAATTATGAGTTATTAAAAGAAGAGTCCAAGGTGACACTCCTTCTGTATTAAAACTGTAATGTCAGTAGCAAAAGACTCTGACAGCCAGGTGTGTTTCCTCAGAGAGATAGTGGGGACATCAATGCTGCATTTCTGTAATTTATCTGCAACTGGAAGTGCTCTCTTTAATCACACACTGCATTTCATCTCATGCTTTTTTTTTCCACAGCCATTTACCAATATTACCACTGTACGTCCTCAGCCTCAAATTACAGAGAGGGAAATATTTGTTTTTTCTTTATTAGCAACAAAACAGGAAGGAAAACAAAAGAAGATGAAGTATGCAGTTATATCGTTTTAAAAAATAACCCCATTAATAAACAGTTTTTAGAACTGGATTGCCTTCTTTGTGGAGACCTAAGACTGATTCTACTGAGAGAGAAGTTTAAATAATAGTGCTCTCTCTTTTGTAATCTGTGGTTTAAGACACAGAAACAGAACGTTTCCCTATTAAAACAAGTGGGTTATTGTCCACGGAGTTTTACTTCATGCACTTTTATGTACTAGTAACTTATGTTTCGTGCTACAGCTTTACAAGGCTGTGTCTAGGCAAATTTCACCGTATCATCGTTTACAGAGGAAACTTCAGTTTACGCTATAGCAAAACAAGTTACTTAAACATGAAGCGCTACTAAGGTTTATGGGGTCAAGTTCAAAGAACCTATAATCCCTAATTCGTGCTTTATGGAGAGCGCAGTGCAGCCGCGTTCAAAGTTCTTCAAATGCGGTTTTAAAAATATTAAGTACCGCATTGCTACTTTGTTTCTTTCCGAAACTATAGCCACATTTTCAGAAATGTACACTTCAGCACTGTAACTAAATGCTGCTGTAGCTCTCTGTAAATGCCTCTATGTAAAACCTAAGAATCTCAGTTCCTATCTAAAAGCCCAGCTGCAGGCTATGAATACCAAGGCGATGATTAACCATGAACTAAAGAACTTAGTTATTAACTAAGGGGCTAGTAAGTATAAGTTATGCGGTGATAAATGTGGGTTTGTTCTTTTTTTTTCATTCAAAAACTTTAAGATTATGGGTGTAGAATGACGTCACGTCACACAGGAAAAAAATCCAAGATGTCTGGGCACACCCAGTTTAAAAACTATCCAATTCGTCACACTGCATTAATTATTCTGTCCCATAAAATAACATTTAAGTGTTTTACGCTGTTATTTAAAATACCCAGTCCGTAATGTAGCAATGTAACATCATTATTCAACCAGTCAAAAGTTTTTTTAAGTATCTCGTATTCGCTTATTAAGGCGTGAAAAGTAACAGACGTTAAAAATTCCTAATACATGGAATCAAGCCTTTGAGCACAGCACTACACAAATAGCGCTGTTTTATGAAAACTATATACCTTCTTTTGCTTTTTTCCTTCTTGCCAAAGTTCCTCCAAGCTTCCCAAGAAAAGAGTCATCTTTCTTTCTTGAAGGTGGCGATTTAGGGGTCGGAGATTTTGGAGAAGACGGAGATTTCTGTGGTGAGGAAGCCATCGATGATATTTTTTTCCTGTTGTTTTTTAGAAGCAGGCGGGGGGGAATTACAGACTTACACAGTTATCTACCTTGAGTTTAGTCAGAGTTTACCCTCTCCCAAACGGAAGCGGAATTCCAAGTTATTTGTTCAGCCTTCGGATGTCAGCTTTCCCTACAAATGAATTCCAGTTCCCTTTCTCGATCCATGTTCCCTCCCCTACTGCGAGGAAAAAAAAAAAGTAATATGTAATAGCCTACACACAGCCCAATTGCACTCTGCTCTAGATGAAAAACAAAAGGTAGCCATTTGTATTACTGCTTGAGTAACCCACTACTGTGTTGTATGACCTTTGGGAACTTAATCTATTAATGCCGATCGGATTTGTTTTCTTTTTCTTGGAGATTGTCACTTTACTGTTTGTAATGTGTGTTTAATGAACGCGATTACAACACACGAGAGTCCTACATTACAGAGGGAAATGTCGGACGTTTTCATTATTTAAAACTAAATTATTCTCAATCTATGTGTCCCCCCCAAAACACATAGATTGTAAAGTGGGTACATACTATAGATTTGTGGTCAAAATTATAGGAACATCTGGAAATCTTTCTGAAGAACCAGTAACGGAACAATCGACATAACTGACTGATTCATATCAAGTTTCTAACCTCAAAAGTGCAACAAGGGGATGTGATTTACTGCCAACTTCTCATCAAAATATGCTAGGAATCACAACATTATCTCCTCTAGGGCATTGTCACATGACTTCAGCAGTGCGTGTGTTTCTGGGTATAAGTTGGCAGCAGTTTTGTTATTTTGTCTTTTTCTTAGCACAACAAATCTGATTTAATTTACAATTCCGAGATTAATATATGTTGAGAATTTTATTTTGGGTGGGGGGGCACAATTAATGTGGACTACATATCTAAATATTGCATATTTTAAGGATATGTAGATATCTGTTACAGATACTGACAGAAAATTAAAGGAACGGGCAAGAGCACAGTTATTTCTTTTGCTTGAGCCAGGCCTTAAATCATTTGAGCCCACCAGTACTGCAGCAGCACAGGAGAGATAAACGCGTGTCCCCCACTTAAAATGTCAATTGTCTGGACAAACAGATGGATGCTTATCAGACTGAACAAATCTTCGTTTGAATTGTTTGATAGCCAAGGACAGAAGTACTGTATGTGGAAGAGCCTTGTCAAGGATATACAGCAAGGGGTCAAAAAAGGCAGATGAAGATACAGTATATAATGATATACTGTATATATTCACTTTTATAGATGGCTAGCTAAATAAGAAGATATTCTGAATATTTATTAGTACTTGCAGATTCCCTAGGGACAAAACTGTCAAAAGAGCCTAAATCTGTTTTCACCTTTTGCATATGTGATGTCAGTGTTAACAACTGCACATATCTTACAAGAAAAACCATTGAGGTGTTTGGTGTTCCTAAGAGCATGCAGATGATTCTGCCCCCTTCTGTGATGTGAAACCACAAGAGCTAATTTAATATCGATTGTCATAATTTATAAGACGACATAGTCTTAAAATGCCCCCCAAAATATGCAATTTACCAGCTGTTATATTCTGAATGTTATTCACAATGAAACGGCATGATTCTCTAAAAGATATATGAATTAATGAACACATGTTGTACACCGTCCTTGAAAAATTACAATGGACTTTCTTAGGTTGTGCAGTTCTTAACACAAAAATGGTACTTTAAAAATTCTAGAACATATGAAAAGCAAACTATTCAGTTAATAGACTGAAAACACAACATAAAAAGGATTGCTTGGCTCTATCAAATTCAAAATTCAGGCATAAAAATAGAATTGTTATAACTTTTATTAGAAACACAAAGAATTAAGCATGTTTTAAATTAAAGTTGTTTGCAAATTGAAGTAAATTAAAGTTTATTTTCAGCATGGAATATTTCACTAAGCAATTAGAATCGTACTAAGATGATTCACAAGATGCATTTACTTATACTTATTGTCTTTTTTTACACCATAAGGATTGCTTGTCAGTTACAGTATAATCTGAAAAAAATGTTTAAGGAAAAACAAAAAAATATGCGTTTACATTTTGTTTGCATTTAGTTTAAGGTATATAACTTAAAGGGCAAATAAAGAAGAACATTTTTATGTTCAAATTTCACACACTTCACTCTGAGGCAGTTGCCATTTTGAAGATGCACATCACAATATGCATTTTAAAAAAATAATTGTCAAAAATCTTATTTAAAAACCCACTACCACATCTTATTTTCTTGTGAAATATATACCATTTTACCAGTTTTTACATTTTTGTAATGTTCAGAATTGCTAAAAATATTAAAGGTGTTATGCCAACATAAAGGCACATATATAGCATCAGTTAGTTTATGTCTATGAAAATAGATCTGTCTGATGTATACAGTGTGCATTTATAACAAGCTGGCCTATTCCGACAAGTGTATCAAACAACTGCAGGGCAGAAACAAAATAATCGGGGAAAAAAAGAAATTAAAGAAAAGAACAGATTTCTTACACACGGTGCACATCCGCAGTTTTGACTTATACGGTATGCTGTTTGCTTAATCTCTGACTTTCATGGGCAATTTAAAAAAAACAACAAGAATTCTTTGGTTGTGCAGTAACGTTTCATTAGCCATTAAAATTCCTTATGTATATTTTTTCCTAGTAAACATTTTAAAGAGGAATTAAATAAAACTTTTGCCACAAATTATTTGATATTAGAAAACGGATATGAAAACAGAAAGGTTTATTATGCTGAAGTGCTAGTTACCAGATTAAGCTTCTTTTTGATTAGGCACAGATCACAAAGGCCTAAAACCACTGAGACCAACTCTGTAACTCTGAAATACAAGATCTGTGCTGTTTCTGTGTATGACTAAACTGACATCCTCTGTTCATTTGGTCTATACTAAATGTATCCTGATAAAGACTTCCTTGCCATGCTTTTTCTATATTTTAGCCCTATAAACATGTTGTCCATCAAAGACAGAACTAGCTTTTTTTTCCGTTTTTGGTGCCAAATGTGGCAGACTTTCAAACTGCTGCAACAAGACACTGGCTCCTGTTGAGTGGAGCGTCACATCCAGTTGAGCTGATATCCTTTAGACAGCACAAAGCTCTCCAGGTCTTTGTCTTCAGCTCTTTCTTGAAGCCTCTGCTCTTCAAGCAGGACCACCAGCCTGTCTCTCTCCTCCACCATTCTCATCATCTCACCGAGGACCTGCTGTTCCTCAGCTAGCTCCTGTGGGCTCTTCTTGGAATCTGGGAAAAAAAAAACACGAAAAGGAAGGAAACTGAAAATGATACTGAATTTTGCTTTGGAGGTTAAAAAAAAGTTGGACATTTTTGTTCCTTTATAAACTGCATCAGTATTTTGTAATTGCACCAGTATATAATGTAAATAAGTGTTAAACATTGTATTTATTTGTAAAAAATCTATTTTCAGTATTGAATTATTTATATATACAGTTATTTTTTTAAGCACAATAAATCAATGGGGAACTTTTGATTGCAAATGCCCTTTTGGTATACGTTTGTGTTTATTATTGTCGGGGAGCAAGTTAAAAATAAACATCCGTTCAGAAAATAAATATTTTAACTTTGCATACTGAAATACATCCTCGGATTTATGTGTACACATTCTGATAATCGATTTGTTGATGTTTTCACTGCTGTGAAACACTTTACTCAATAAGATAAACACATAATATATTTAGTTATACCTGACAGAAATACTCTAACTGACATTACAAACCAATAATACTAAAGCCACTTCATCTAGTCAGAAGCAACTACAGTAGAAGGAAGATGAAAAAGCTAAGGGCATCACTTGAAATTGCAAAGGTTAAACCATTATGATATTTCTGAAAGCCAATACGTGAATCAGGACATGTGCAGAATATTGTCTACAAATCTGGGATCAAAAGGTCATTTACAGGGGATGCATCTTCTATTCACACCCATCAGGGTTCAAAGCTAATTTGTTCATTCAAAAAGAAAGGAAAATTCAATTAAGAATCCCAACCCCTCACTGTTCTTGATCTCATAACCCCAGCAGTTTTGTAAAAAAAGATCAGAAAGGTAAAACCTTAATAAAAAAAACATACATCATTTTCTGAATTAAATCACGTGTAAGCCCTGCATTCGGGTTCGCCTTTTGTAGGTAAATTTCAGCAATGCAAAGAATTAGCTGAAGAATTTACAGTATCTGAGGAGACTTTCCAACAACCTAGCGAAATAAACACGGGGAACTAAGCTTCTTGGTTTTCTTTTATAGAATTTTGTCCATTTCCTTCTAAAACCCTCACAAAGATTCGTGTCTCTGACTCCTCTTCACATTCTCACCATGGATGGCCATCCTGCGACGCAGTTTCTGCTGTAACTGGCTTTGGCAGTCCTCCAGCTCCAGCTCTTGGGCACTGAAGGGTAGACACAAGCACAGTCTCACACACTGCCTGATGCCAGAGCTTCTGGGGACCGATTATATACTTTGCTCTTTTCTCCTGTTTCTCTTCTCAACTCATCACCTTGATGTGAGCGGTCCTGGGGGGGTATCTATTGTTGCTGTTTTTTTTTTACTATTAATTATTATTTTAACAAACCAGCAGATGATTTTAGAAAAGATTCTTAGTCTCATACCCAAATGACCGGCAGCTACATTGTGTCTTGGAAAATTAGAACCTATGTTAGTTACCAAGAAGAAGATGAATTCTGTCAAGAGGCAAAGATGTTCTGGATAAGCTGAGTGCATACTTACAAAATCATCAGTTCAGATTCATAGCGGACAAGTTTATTCTTCTCCAGAACCAGCTTAAACCAGGTTTGAAGGAGTTGTGTTTCATCAGCCGAGCTGGAATCTTAAGGGAATAAAAGCCCTAAGTTTCAGTGTACATGAACAAATAATTCAGGTCTTTAATACCATTTAGACAGCCCTGGTTATATGTCCCTGAATTTGTCTACCTGTCTGCTCATCCATCCATCTGTCTGCTGCTTTTCTGTTGTTATATAATTTTCAATGATCCTCATGGTTTGACATCAGTCTTTTGTGAACATCACTTATTACAGCAATTTATTGATTACACTTCATGAATGTTGCCCATACTGAGTGCATATCACTTTCAAAGTTGTTGTACAAGTGGCAGGAAGAATTGTGAAATTGTAAGGTTTTAATTTAATTACTCAAATATTGCCAAA